GGGGATACCTTGAACCCTTCTTGAGCACCTCCATCATATACATATAAGCTAAGGTAGATCTTTTTGAGTGACTCCCTATTTAGCATCGTGGGCTCACCTACTATAAGTAGAAATGTCCAATAGAGCTTGAGGGATTTTGGACTGTGAACTACATTTTACTTTTACGGTAAAAAAACTTCATCCAACCTTAGAAAAACCTTATTTAAATTCAAAACAAAGGGAATTATTAGAAATATAATGTTCATGCCGCGAATCAATTCGACACACGGGTTTGTCGCCAAGGAACGCTTCCATACGTATTAAAATATATACAGAATACAGAATTCTTCCCTTATCATATCATGAAATTCATGAAAAAAAATTCTATCCATTCGGAAATAATTCGCGAATTTTTCATCACTTAAGTCTTTGAACAGTGTAAATTCTCCTCGTTCCTTCCTAAACTTGATATGCTTACCATTATCTAGGGTTTTCTTTGCTTCATCTTCTGATGAGCTATCGATTGTTTCTAGTATTAGCGAGTCATTAAGCCTCTTAGACATTTTGAATGAACACCACAATTAAATAATGAAACACTGGTTAATTAAATACACTGTGTTCAGCACAGATCAGCAGATGAGCCTACTCACAGAAATACTAAGAAGTCGGCAACACTGTTAGAAAGATATGAAAATATATATACTGTCGTCCGTTGCAGTCATAATATATAATATTATAATATTCTAGCGTATTGTACGACTTTTTCGATATTTCTGTAATATGCAGGATATAATATATATTATATTATTGCTCACGGTCCGTTGCCAGCTTAATATATATTATATTATCGCTTAAAGCTTGGACAAACTTCAAATCAAAACTGTTTCCATAGTGATCCCAGTCAGTAGCCAGGCTTCTGCAGATGCTGAGGAAGATCAAAGATGCAGCGGTTACTCATTTGAGGAGTGTAATATTTGAAGATCATACCTTTTGGAATCACCACATAACTTTTTGAACAGTGGAGCACTACAAAAAGTTCAGCTGCCGGTGACAACCCCTGAGGTCCTGAGAATTATCAGAAGTTCGGAGATTACTTGCGATCTAACCAGAAGGCACAGCTCTGAAGGATATTTGCAGGCCATAACATTTGTAAGTTTTTATATGACTAAGTTATGATTTATACTGCTTTTTGTCCAAAATAGTTTCCATAATTCATTTTAAATCATCTAGTCGTAGAGCAGCAGAGTTGATATGCAAAGCTCAGTATAATTTCAATGAAATCGAATCCATATGTTATTGAACAACAACATGGGTGCCCACAGGGTGGTGTCAGATGGGCCGTGGTCTCTTCTGTGACCACTTTGACTTTAAAATTTGCATATTTAGCATGGTTTTTGTACAACTTTGAGAATTTTGTAGAATTTGTCCCCCCTGAGAAAATTGCTACTTCTGCTCATCAAAAAATTTTGGGGGAGGTATAATTTCACAAAAAGTTATGATCAGCACCCCTGATAAAAATTCTTGTCGGTATCCATGGACAATAATATTATTGTTGTAATAAAAAAAGAAATCTGAATTGTAGTAACATATCAACACAGTTCAATTTTTTCCTAATTTTTGATTTATTTAGGTGCCAACAAAAGCTGGGGAATGAAAACATCTGGACCATAATAATGTTAATACAGATTTGTTTGTAGAAAAATGTATGAGATTTATATAATAAATATATATTTAGATATTTGCAGTATATGTTTTTTTCTGAACCTTTCCAGATTAGTAAGTAGATATGAGTGATCTTATAACAGCTTGTGTTATTGACGTTGCTATTTTAATATATAAAAAAGCACTTATTCGTGTTAAGATAGCGCAAAATGTTAACAACACATGCTGCTGTTATAAGATCTCGCATATCCCACTAAATTTCTATATATAAAAGTATAGCAATCTCAGATTTATTTGTAGAGCTGGCGACGTTGTGGGGTATCAATGCACAATCTGGCAACCGTGTCGCACCCTCAAAAAATGGCCGCTGACAACCACACAAGTCACCGTGTTGCCATTGAATAGCATGGAATTAAACCTTCTTCAGTGTATATCGTGTATATGTTTGTGCTTTTGATATTCCAGGTTTACTTCGTACGAATGAAACTGGTACGTTAAACATCTACGAATGCTCAAATTGTAGTAGTACAAAGTACAATACGAAAATTGTATTTTATATGGAATATCATTAAAAAATTGAAATAAGATAGAAGCAAAATCATATTTATAAATCATTATACCGATTGTAACGATCTCGCTGAATGGAGTGATTGTCGATCAAGGAAAGGCCGATGCCTGCAGCCTGTTTGTTCCTGCCTTTACGAATACTGCGAAACCGCTGACCCGCCTAACAATGGAAGCTCAAAAGTTCGTCTGGGATGAAGACTGCCAGCGCGCTTTTAAAGAAATGAAGCACGGGTATTATGTAAAAACCTATAAAACGTCAAAAAAACCTATAAAATTTCATCTTGCGGACTAGGTAGTTTTTAGGGTGCAAACAGTCATTCCACGATTGCTCACTAGGATCGTTGTGAGCGTCCATCCATGGAGGAATGACAACTAAACTACACACATTGTTGGTTGCATATGTTTTGTGAAGTCGAGTAATCTGTATTCTGTAGTTTTTATCTTTGAGAAGAAAATTGGTTGAATAGCAAGATCGCATCTGCATGTGTATAAAATCAGTGATATTTGCTGTGTGAGAAAGTCATTACTGAATATGCTGCCTATGAAGTATATCTATTAGCTGTGCCCGACGGGTTATTTGAGATGTGCTTTCTGAAGAGAAGTTATGTTCAAAGTTATAAATTACGAAGAACTTTGAGGATAATTACGGGAAATCACCGCGCCCGCGTTGTCTGTAATTACTGTTAGTATGTGGCTTGCAATTCGACGATGTACAGTGAATATAATTATTTCTTATCTCTCTCATTTTTTGAATTCAGCAAATTTGCATATGTAATTTCCAGAATGGAAAAGAAAAAGTGGATGCGCAACTAATTTTTAGCTTTGAATCTCAATTAGGTGTGAGACAAGAACCCAATGTAATTATCATCAACACATACAACTTACAGCTTAGACATACAGTAATGCCATCTCATAAGCAGATTTTACATCACATCAGAGCCAAACATTGATAACTGAAGCGTCACGACGTTTAGGCAACACGTACAAATACAAAACGAATTCACAACAAGTGTCCATCAGCTAGTGCCAAGTTAACATCTTGTACATAGAAGAACCTACATGTATAATGTCAAGAAAATCAACACAAGCAACGTCGATATTGGTGTCGGACTGTCACAAGTCCAAGAATGCCAGGAACGTGTCGTGGGGTAATTCAGCAAGACCCTATTGAAGGCTGAACGAAACTACCGCATCACTAGACGAGAGCTATTGGTTGTGGTCAAGGCAGAGGAGCACTATTACAAATATCTCTACGGGTCGAAATTCTTGATCCGCACAGTCCATGCGGCACTGAAGTGGCTCCTGCAGGTCAAGAATCCTAAATGACAAGTAGTGAGATGGATCGAGCGGCTCGCCGAGGATGACTTCGAGATCGAGAACGTACTGTATTGAGCAATTGCAACGCCGACGCTTTATCCAGGAGGCCATTCCAAATGCAGTACTCGCACTATAGCAGGCACGAGATGACAGCGACAATCTGCAAGACAACAGTAGTGGATGATTCCTGGTTGCCTGACAACATCCGTGAAAACCAGGAACGCGACCCTGATATCAAACGGGTGAAGCAGTGGATAGAAGAGAACAGTCGATCAACCTGGGCTTAAGTGGCCCCACTGTCACCAGCGGTGAAGTCATACTGGGCCCAGTGGAACTCTGGTGCTAGAAAATGGCGTCCTGAAACGAGCAGAAAACGTACGTGTTCGACGAGCAATGCACCGCTTCGGAATCCGAATGCCAAGATGAAGCAGTATAACGTGGGCAGCAGCCCATTCGATATCATAGCTAGTGACATTTCGTGGTCGTTTCCAGAGTTGCAGAATGGGAACAAATACATCCTGGTTGCCATGGACTACTTTATGTGAAAATTGATCCAGTTGGGGCGGAGCTACGAATAAAAAAGAAAAATCGCTCAAACTTAAACCTAGAATTGTGGAGACATATTTCGAACCCTCGCGAATTCGCTTCTGGTCCTACTGGCATGTGTGTAGCAATTGGCCTACGCTGCTCGATTGGATGAGGAGACATGTATACATAATTTCGATCATATGCGCCAGCAGGAATTTTTTTCACAGGAAAGGGAAGCGCCGTCCATTGACCATCAGAGATAACTTTTGTGTGAAAGCGTAACTGCCTCCAAAAAATTTTGAAAAACGAGAGGAGCATATTTTTCTCAGGGATCCAAATTCTGAAGAGCCCCAAAATTGTACTAAAAGACATGGTAAATATGCAAATTTTAGTTGTATGAGTCTGTTTGACTAACTTAATCCCTTTAATTTTTCGAACATAATCTTTTATGAACTGATAACAGCATTACACAGGAAGTGCAGAGTCAACCTACTTGACGCCATTTTTTATTAGATACTTCTAAGAATCTAAGAGAATTACTGTGATCCTACTTCGCAACAAGGCTGTGACGATGTAAATTGTATGTGAACTTACAGATATAGCAAATGTTTGGGGATCTTATTGAAGAGTACGGTGATCAATAGTTAAACGTGTTCTTTAATATTTGGGTTGTATGACACTAGTGCTGGTAACTTCTGCACTGGTATAACATGGTGATAACTATAGGTATGTGCATATAATTCCTAGATAAATTAAAAGCAAACATGGAATGATTATAAAAAGGCACTCAATGGACCAATATCGTTCATGATATGTTTACTTTTGAACTTAGAATACCATAGGAACAAAATAACAAGAAAACAGTAAAAAACATAGTTGGCGACTGAAATGTATAGGTAGGTACGCTAATACTCACAAGTATTTTATTACATAAAAATCTATAAAATCGTCAGTCCATCCGAGAGTTGCTCATTGTGTAAATCCCTGCTAAAGATCAAGTAACAATGCAATGTTTTCTTCATAAGTACGTTCATATTCAGGTTTATTGGATTATAAAAGATCAGGCATTATTGAAATCTTTTTGCTTATTGTTCCATCACGTTTTTGGAAGCTCATTTTTCTATGGATTTTGGTCGGGTATTTGAGTCGTAAGGGGGTAATTATGGGGTAATTATCCTCCCCCTCATAAAATTTGTGTGTCTTTGTATAAAGTGAATGCACATCAAAAATAAATATATGTAGCTTTAAGAAGGGACATAGGATAAATCTGACAACCCGTTATGTGCATCTGTGGCTACACTTTTACCATCGGTGTGCGCCTCTGCCTGTCGAGATAAGCATAGATTCTAAATTCCAGATTAATCATGACAATTCATGGTTGGCTTACAGCATAGTCGTCGTCTCAATTCATAATCAAGCACCATCAGTCTCAAGTTTGTTAGGAGGTTTTATAAGAGGCAATGCTGCCTTTTTTTGGATGGAAGCGGAGTTAGGTTTAGATGTTTATTTAGCCTTAAGCTACAATATTACATTAACATGAGCACAATCACACATCACCTGAATCTAAAATATAAAGTCCTTAATTTCCTATTGAATATTGTTACATTTTGTGTGATTTTGGTGCTAGTGGTAAGCAAAATGAAATAAGAAAATTGGCAACAAATTCACTACCTTCATTCACCTTTTTGCTACGTGATAATTTCAGTGCATAGTGTTCTTTTAGATGGAAAAATTAGAAAACCCAAACCTTGCTTATACTCTTGATACTGATTGTTTTACCTGTGATACTTATTCTTTCTGTCATGTCAGTGTGTTCTGTAAACAGAAAAGTCCAATTAGTATATCATTTTAAAGTATATACTGTCAAAAGGCCGTAAATTTTCAATATCAATTCTTAAGCATCTATGTTAAAAAAAATGTACATATCAAAGTTTCTTTTGAGTAACACAAAACTGGTCGGATGACAAAAAATCATGTCCAGAGACGATTTTTAGCCTGTGAATTTTTAGTGCGCCTCAATTCTTTTCTTTTCTTATTTATAAAATTTATCTATATTCAAATATTTAAATGCGTTATTTTGCACATGAGTGTAGCTTATTTCAATCAGTTTTGTAGTAAAACTCCCAAACTCTTGGGAATTGATAGCTTGATTCCATTAAAATTTTGCAGTATTACAGGCAAAATAAACACCTTAAAATATTTTGGATACTCATGATGATTCAAATCACGACCTAAATGATCGGAGATGAGAAACGTGTGAAACAGTTTAGGTTATTTATGTTCATGCTAGCCTATTAAAAAAATCACTGTGCCCACAAATTGTCACGTAGCCAAAGAACAAACAATAAAGTTCCATTTCAATCACGAAAAGGCCTTAGTCCATACCACCTACCATTTCACTAGGATCATTTCCTCTCGAAACACCATGTATATATACAGTGAATAAATACCATTACTTAAATCGATTTTGTAGGGGACCTACACGTACTCTCCTACATAACAGGTAATACCTACTTTCTAGAAATTATTCTACTCGTATTAGCAGCTTAAACATTTTTTAAATATCGAAAAAATATGATTTCTTATACTTTTCGAAAATAGAATTTAAAAAAATATTATGTGTTACGAATAGAAAAGTTTTCACTGGTATGAGAACCGTGAATACCTACGTGGGATGCACTGATGAGGCCACCTGTTATTCCTAATTTGAATAACTAATATCATATGTTATTCTCTGAATGAGCAAAAGGAAACGTGAAACTCTTGACTGCATCTTTTCTAAATACAATAAATATGGTCTCACATACCGACAGAAAAAGTACTGAACAAAATTAATCTGTCGAAATCAGAAAAGCTAAGATCAAATACTGGAAATGCTGGACCGCGAATTCAACTGGGTGCAGTTGTAATCTTGTTGATGTTGTGGTGTTTGCTGGACCAACTGTTAAACAACTGGGTGAAGTGGAAGCTAATTTTCACAGACCGTGGCCACTTATGTTGACGTTGCGCCATACGTAAATTTCAGCGGTAGCGTTTTTTCTCAAGAAAAATATAAATTATTAATGTGGGCATTGATCCCTCGTGACCGTTTCAAATTCCCTTATTCGATACACTTAAGAAATTATAAAGCAGATGTTTGTAAAAAACATTTTTAGTCTTGGAGCTCATATTTAGATTAACTATTAGGTCTTTTTTGTAATGGACTAGTTTTTCAACATTTCGCGAGACTACCCTAGAAAACGTCATGACCGCCGCAGACTCAAATCCTGGGAGCGCCACTATTATCGTTACGCCACTGCCAAGCGCTAACGTTCATTTGCTTCATTAATGGCGTGCAATGCGCCACGCTACTGTTTTTCAGTTTCGGACTTGACTATAGCTGATCAACGGAAAAATGAAAGTCTTAAACGTGATGAACGCCTCAAAATCAGTGCTATTGAGACAAGTGCTAAAAGCACAAGGCTGTTGTCATGGTAAGACACATAGCTGATTGATATGTTTCTCCAGTACTTATAAAATAAATAAAATTATACTCGATTGTACGTAGCTTTACGCATTGGTACTTGATGTTTCCATCAATTTACTACAAGTACTATACTAGCTTGAGTTCACTGACAATAGTATATATGATGACCCATATGATGAAGATAACGACGGTGCCGATGAAAAAGTATGTTTTCCTCTGATTCCATGGACTGTCCGATGCGAGATCAGGCGGTTGATACTTCTGCCTGGCGGCCCTGCACACTTCCGGTGTGCAGGTGGTGGTGGACCTTGCTGCTGACGTGTTTGCGCCGTTTGCCACTGTGATTTTCATCAACTCGGTACCTCGGTCGGTACCCTTTGAGGCCTTGCCATCCATCTGCAAAGAAATGTTTGGATTTTTATTGCTGTTCTTTCTAATGTTTTGTGTACAAACGAGGGCGGAGGTATGTGTTTCAATGGTACCAACAAGATTTGCGGGGTTGTACCGCCTCGGTTATCGGAAAAGCGGCGAAAAACGACGATAGTACAAAATATTCAAATGATAAGTCGTAGTTGATCACAGAAGGGATATGGTCGTGACCTTGGCGTCGTCCTTGAACATGTCAGGGAAGCAAGAGCATCACAATTAGTCATTTTGAGGACTTAAGGTCAAGGTTGGGGTGTTATCATATGACCAATGATAATGGACACTTCAACTTACACGAAACATAGTTACCAAGCTTAAACAGTCTAGACCATTGAAAACAGAAGTGTGAGTTGTTTGTGCGCTTGGTCACAATATATAGATAATTTGAAAGGCACTAAAACGTTATCTCAAATTTTGAAGAAAATCTGCCGTGTGTCTTTGAAATATTTGGTTTCAAAGTTTATAAATCCGCGGTTACTGTCGTATTGTTGTTTTTCCACAATTTTTTTATGCTTAAGCCACCACGAAGGCCACAAACACCTATGGGTACCGTGGGGCTATAGGGGACTCAGGGAAAAGGGGGAAATGCCACACGGACTCTAGCGAGGGAACACGTCGTGTGCATACAAGATGCACACATTCTGGATCCGCCTTAGAGATTCGCCAGGTGGAACCTGCGCGTCCGAGTCAGAGACCGTCTACCACCTATGATATTTCATTTACATAATATATTAAAGATAAAGACTGACTGTATGAATGTTTAGTAATATTCCAGAATTATCTGTTGTATTCGATTCAAGCACGTGAGGTCCACGTACAGTCCGATTTCTTTGCTACTAGGCAAGTGAGGTCATATGCCGCCCCTGGATTCTGCTTCAAAGTGAAATATTCTTAATAAGATACCCAATCCTTGGGTAAGAAGCGGCGTGTGTGAGAACATCCCAACATAGAAGATAGAAGATTTGCTACCATTTTGAATAGTTGCAGCCAGTTCGTTCAACCTGTAAACCAAACATGCCTCCCCTGGATTTTGCTATATGGGCGGTCATGCATGTTAGATATATAGATGTGGTTATGTGGCTGGCGACAGGGGAAATAGTTTAAGCTCTTTATGGCAGCCGCGGTGTCCCGGTATATAGGCTTCTGCCTACACGACTGCTTCGGTAAAAAACCGATAAATATCATTTTTAACTATACCGGTTGTTGAAGGACATATTCATATATCTTACTTTATTTGTGTATTGAAAACATTAAACAGATGTCGTTGTCAAGGGGGACGTCAAGGTGAGCAATCACACTACCCTTTGACATTAGCAACGTTTTTATGAATTTTGGACGATTACTTATTGTTCTAGACAAATGTAATCTTATACATCAATAATTATACTGACGTGCTGGTTACACCGTCAATAAATATAGCATTCCATGGTAAAGATTGACGGATCACTGGCAAATACTGATCGTGAGACATTCGCCTTAATGCTATTACACCCTTGTGATGTTTCAGCAAGTCAGATTTCTTCAAAAAGATAACATTTTCGGGAACATTTGCAAATTTACGTATCCGTTGACCTCTTAGACAAGGCGAAAATGGCAGGCTCTGTTTCCATCGGATTTGTGTTTTTTTTGAGTCATCCATATCGCTCACGTGGAAACTGAACCAATTTAAAAAATAACCAGTTACTAAAAATCGACCTTTTTCGCTCCGGTAATCTAATTTAACCTTTATCATTATTTATTTTTTATATTACTCTGATACAAAAGTTTTATGAGCATTTTTTTGAATATTTTAGAATTAATTGTAATATTGTAAATCAAAATATCCTATATGACCATTTTAATGTTTTAACTCTAAAAATATCAACTTTAGTGAGAGGTTTTAAGGGCCCTTAGGGTGGCGAGCATCGAAAAAGGTAAAACAAAACTTATTTAACCTTTATTATCCTTTATTTGTTATATTACTCTTATAAAAAAGTTTCTTAGGAGAATTTTCTTTTGAATATTTTAGAATTAATTGTAATGTAAATGAAAATATCCTATATAATCATTTTAATGTTTTAACCCTAAAACAATCAACTTTAGAGAGAGGTTTTAAGGGCTCTTAGTGTGACGAGCACCGAAAAAGGAAAAACAAAACTAAATTAGTATGTCGCGAAAAATGCATAAAATTGGTGACCGGAGGACTTATGTATACGAATAATGGAATAAAGCTTCTAATACTGAAGCATTCATATATGGAACCAATTTCACGACAAATTTCGCGTATTCTCAGCGATTTCGTTTTGAATTCCTCTAATTGGTGCTCGCCTCACGTATTGCACAGAATAAGCGAATAAGTATTCTAAATGATAATCGACGCAATTTTGTATGATTAAAAATGTTTTGATTATGGAAGAAATAAAGAAAATACATATTTTTTGGAAGTGTCTCGCATTGTTAAATAAGGGTATAATAAAAAAAACTGGAATTGACAATTGCTTGAAAACTTCTTTCATTCAGAGTAAGTCATATAAAAAACTGAGCGGGCGAAAGAAACGATATTTGGTTACCGGTATTTTCTTTAGTTGAACCTATTTTCACATCGTCGACGATTTGGTAGATAGTTTTTGCCTTGTATATTTTCATAAATCGAGAAACTGGCCTAGTGGAACATACGTGTATGATTAATTTGAAACTGTGTAGCTAGGCATACGGTATTTGCAAAGCAGTCCTAATATAATTTTGTTCAGGGTACCAACATTTTTTAAACAAATCAGAAGACTGAAATTTTGTTCAATCTGTCTAAATCTAGTTTTTGGATTAGCGTTAATAGTTGTTATAACATCTGTAGCAAAGTTAGTACGGAAAATGGAATAAAGATTTTTCAAATCGGAAACACACCGTGTTACTTTCGAGAAACTGCCGCTATTATAAACGATAAGTTAGACTTGTTAGAATGAGAATAATGATTAAAAATATACTTTACCCTCTAGAAATGGCCCACATTATAGTTCATTTAGTCGTCAATCTTGCTCGAAAAGAACAATAGTTATGAATCGTTGTGTATCGTTATTGGTCAAAAATAACTTACAGGCACTTAAAATATATAGGTAACCACAACAACAGAGATAACAGTATTACATGGAAAGACTAGTGAGTATATCGTTCGCTCAAACAGAAATACAATTTTTTTAACCGGCTATAACAAGTGATAAAGCAACTCGACTACCGGTGCAAACACAATTGAATTTGACCCCTGCTATGAATAATAACGTGTTTGGACAGATTATACCTTGTGGTAATAATATTTATTTGCATTTCTAGCATTATTTTCATATTTATGCGGTATTCATGACCTTGCTTGGTTATGTTTTGTAGAACTGATAAAAAATGACGTCAAGTAGGTTGATGGCCACCATTTGTATCAGTTTTGAATTAAAATGGTCGGAATTTGGAACTGATGACTCTTTGACTTTAAAAATATTCAGTTAAGTGGGTTGTAACTTCCAAAATATCAATGATTTACCAAAAATACTTCCAGGGAATCCGCAGCCCTAAGTTCCACCTATATTTTTGAAAAATTGTCGGTGTCTTTTTGCGTGAAGAATTGACCAATTCGACATCATTTCACTTCACAATTCCATCATGATATTTGTTATCTGAGACTAGTTCAGAGGACTATTTTTTAGTTTTTAAAAAAATGTGTGTACAATGTTTAATTTTCTGTGAAAAGTCAACAGAACATTTATCTACAAAAAATCAATTATTCACAATTGAAAAAAACTTGAAGACACATTTTTCAAATTCTTGTTCATATTCAAAAAACTTTTTGCCATAAAACATGTTATTTTACAATTTAAAAAGTGGTTGTCTTCATTGTGCCCCTATATTTCATATTTCCAAAGTTCTTGTTTATATTTCTCATCAATGGGATACAGTATTGTTAAAAAAAAACTAGTGAGTATTTACAGTTTTACTTAATGATTGAATGTTTGTAGGTTGATGTTTAATGCAACATAATTCCGTAAAAATAGGTAATTCTTAAAGTTTGTCATCAAAATCGTAATGAAACTTCAAATACGATTAGGTATATAAAATTAGCGGAGGTGAGAATTCAGGTTGAAAATTGGGTCGCAAACAGTTGGGAAACACTGGGTTAAGAATAGGTATTTGACGAATTGTATTTCGAATTTTCTATTATAAGGTCGATTGAATTGAATACGATGTTCTTCAAATAGATACATCAAAACCACATTGACGATATGCGAACAAGTTGAAATCTCGATCATAGGGACGTTATCACATTTTCGAAACATGAAATACTCAAGCTGCTTACTTACGCCACTGCATGAAATGTATCAGTAGTTGAAGAAAATTCTTTGAACAATTATTTATCATATATCAATTCATAAATATTTTAGATACATGAGCACCTATAGAAACCAAACCATTTGTTTGGATAAACATATTATTAACTAACACAACTACTAAAAAAATGATTCATGTTTATTTTTTTTCTCTCACCATACATACATACATACCTATTGTACTCACCTCATTGTTATTATTAATTGTGTTATAATTTTTTACATCCATCTCGCACACTAACTCAACCTTTCAACCCATAATACTCATATTAAATGAAAACTATTACAGATTTGTACGTCAACTGAATCCTACATATTGTAAGGAAATCGACTGTTTCAGCTGTGATAACTTTCACCTATTGCAGAAAGGTATTGAGTAACAGCGTACAGAAGTGCTGTATACGATGATAAACATAAGATAAGCCGGTCACCGAGCAACTAGATACAAGGTACAAGGCATCATCTTGTAAAAGAAACAGATTGCAATTGTGTGCCTTTACAAAAGGAGATATAAATCAATTTAGTAGAGGAATCGGATATAGATTTACTAAATTCATAAGGTTCTACAATGTAGAACATTTTATAGATGAAGGACTTTCCTCAACTACAATTTGACAAGTGATGACAGAAAAAGCCTTACATGTAAGAAATTATGTACAATGTTTTCACTCCAAACCAACAGTTTATGTTTTCCTCTTATAGTTTGTTCCACAATCGCGACATCCTCGGGGCCAAAGGAGCGGTCGTATCGGCCAGTTCTGGATGTAAGAAGTTCGACACGGTTAGGATGAGAGGCCGAAGTCAGGCGGGTCTGTCTAACAAGCATCATGGAGAAGAGCTCTGTGGAGCAAAGCCCGTTGGAGTAGTGGCAGAAGAGAGCTAGATCGCCGACAGCTTGCCGGCGCGAAAGGGTCCCGAGACTGTCTATTAGAGAAGAGTCATCGATCATTTGGACAATCCTCCTGTGGACAGCATCTAGCATAAATAATGTAGTCGGGGCGGCAGCCCCCCAAACATGTGAGCAATACTAGAGGCTAGGCCTTATATAGAGTGAGGAGGTCATGCGGAGAAAAGTACATCTTAGCCCCAAACAAATAGCATAGCTTTTTCTCAGCAGCTGCCGCTATTTACGAGATGTGTTCGTGCCAGATCAAGTCCTCGGTGATCTGAACTCGGCCATCGATCGAAACCGGATGGGCACTGGGACGCTTTTTGTTAGACAAGGCACAGTACTGTGTTTTGGAAGGATTAAGCTGTACAAGGTCTCTCTTGTCGGAGAAGAATTTGCCGATAGTCTTTTTTTCCAGCTCACCGGCAGACTTATAACTTTGAACATAACCTGGAGAAAATATAAATAACCCGTCGGGCACAGCTAATTGATATACTTCATTGGCAGCATATTCAGTACGTAATAATTTTCTCACATAGCAAATATCACTGATTTTATACACATACAGATCAATATACATAATCATCCCGATGCGATCTTGCTACTCGGCCAACTTTCTTTCTTTCACATCTTCTCAGATATAAAAACTACATACTACTCTGCTTCACAAAACATATACTTGCTTTCTGCAACCAACAATGCGTGTTGTTGAGTCATTCCTCCATAGATTAACGCTCACAGCGATCATAGCGAGTAAACGTGGAATGAATTATATTAACTACCTAGTCTGCAAGATGATATTTTGTCGGTTTTTTCTGACGTTTTTACATAACACCCGTGCCGCAAGGGTATTATGTGAAAAAACATAAAAAACGTAAAAAACCGACAAACTGTCATCTTGCAGACTAGGTAGTTTTTACTTTCATTTCATGTTTTCTCGCTATAATCGCTATTCGCTAACAGCTTGTACTGAGTTATCATCTTGTAGAAAAACCTACGTTGTCACAAAAACCTACAAAATGTCAAAAAAAAAGATACTTAATACCGGTGCCGCACGGCTATTATGGAAAAAACGTAAAAAAACGACGACGAAATGTCTCCTGTGGTCTCATCTTGCAGGTAGTTTTTAGTGTGCAAAAAGTTCATTCCACGTTTAAGCAACACGTACAGCTACAAAACGAGTTCACAACAATTGCACAACAGCTTGTGCTAAGTTAACATCTTGCAGAAAAACCTACGAAATGTCAAAAAAAAATCGACGAAGTGTCAATTTTTAAGACACGTAATACTTGATGGTCATTTCTCGTAATTCTCTGCAAAGTTTTTGAAAACACAAAAAACCTAAAAAATCGTGATTTACTACTTTGAACATAACCTGACTTCAGAAAGGATAACATATAAATAATCCGTCGGGCACAGCTAATAGATTTAGTTCATTGGCAGCATATTCAGTAATGATTTTCTCACACAGCAAATACAGCAAATATCACCGATTTTATACACATGCAGACCAATACAAACAATCATCCAGATGCGATCTTGCTATTCAACCAACTTTCTTCTCAGATATAAAAACTATAGACTACTCGACAATGCGTGTATACGTGTAGTTGAGTCATTCCTCCATAGATGGATCCTCACAACGATCCTAGTGGAACGTGGAATGAATGTTTGCACGCTAAGAACTACCTAGTCAGCAAGATGACATTTCATAGATTTTTTACATGATACCCGTGCTGGAATGCTTGTTTATATTTGTCTCTGGATTCGACGTCGACTGGTCTGTTCCCTACGGTGGAGTTTTGTAAGAAGGCTCTGTGTGCCTTGATCGATCTGCTGCTGATGAGCCACTGCACGATTTGTTGAACCAGCCATTTAACCCTGGCTTAGGCACTTTCACTGTATTCCCCCATTCCAACGTGGATAATTTCGGATTAGTATGAACATACAGCCGATGGTTCCGCGTCAGTGAAATAAACATCTCTCCAAAGAAAGCTGGAGGAGAAGTCTTTGAGCCTCTTCCAGTCGGCATGTCCTCAATGCCAAATTTTGCGGCCTGGGAGAGTTTCTGCTGATACAATGGGTTCTGATCGAAACCTAAACTCCACAACAACGTGGTCTGAGTTATCCAGGGAAGACAGAACAGGATGCGTGGTCAGAAAGAGCCCCAGCAGGCTACAGGCCTGTGACGAAATGCGGAGAAAAAAGTAGAGCTCGTCACCAGCTGGGTTAGTCCTAGGGTAATAGCGAACGCTTCAACTGCACGACCTGTTGCACCGGTCTTGTTTGAGTTCAACTAAAGCTTATTATGGGCATTGAAATCACCGAGGAGAATTAACTCAGAAGCGGGGTGATTGATGTTCAGGAAGTCGATCTTGACAGCGAAGTATTCAAGTAGGTCATCCCAGTTATGGTCCAAGGGAGAGCGATAAAGACCGCAAATCAATTTGGGGGATGTTTTGGAGTTGAGGCGAAGCCACAGAATGTCCTTCCAGCCTGATTAAAAGAAACGACTCTAGAGCAGGAAATACCACCACTCTTCCGTTCTTTCTCAGATTGTAGAGCATACCGTATCGTAAGTCGTTCCTACAATTGTAGGTCGCCTTTGTGGCCACCTTGATTTTCATAGTTTCCTACTGTTCCGTGTCAGCGCTCTATTTTGAGGTTATGTCACAAATATCTATTTGCTTCAAATTGTTCATGCTTTCGGTTTATATCATCTGTTTATCAGCCTGAAATTTTCTACAGTTCAAAATGAAAATAACTTTACAATAAGTGAGCGCTGACGCTGACATTGAAGGAGAAAAAAGGCTATTAAAACCAAGTTCGTGGTCTTTTCTCTCATTCAGAAAGGCTGTGATATTTCTAGATTTCTACTATTCCGTGACAACATCGGCGCTCTCCTATTGTGAAGTTATGTTTTCTTTTTGAATCGTAGGAAGTTTCAAGCTGATAAAACAGATGATATAAATCAAAGGCGTAAACAGTTTGATGCAAACACTATGACAATCAAGCAGGGCTGCGTTCGTAAATTGTTACAGGGTGTAGTTTGTACTACTCT